ACTGAGATGATTTTTAATGGCCAGTGACAGTATAACAATGAATTAAGATGAATTTTCCTCGTTGTTATATAAATAGTATGAATTAATAAGGCTATGGGCAGATTTTGAGCCATTAACTTAAAGTTAGTGAAGGCGGGATACCACTTCTTCAGTTCTCATATACAGCACGCAATCAGTTCTCAGTGCTCAAATACACACACAGCAGTCCAAATGCTCAAGATTAAGACTAAATCAAAAATGCCTGTCAAAATTAACACTGGTAAGGAATATGGCTTGATTGTGTTGAACTTAAAAGTGTTGATCACTAGAGGGCACTGTACAACAAACTCTAGCCTGAATGATTGTCAATTCACGGCACATTTACTGAGAGGAAAGACCTGAGGCTGAATCCACTCGGAACAAAAGACAAAGATTTCAGTGACACAACAGGATCCTCAACTCGTATATCAGCGGTCCAGCAGAATAAACTCACCTGAAGCCAGTCGAGCTCGAGCGATGGTGGGGGAATCAGGAGGCGGAGCGGGAACAGTGAGGTAATTGTTCATCTGTGATATCTGAAAGTAGAGAGATAAAACCTTCAATGGTGACATTCTGTTAAGACTAATAAAGCACATTCCACCTATCAAGACCACCCATCTTTTTATATCAAATAGCGGCCAACTGAGATGACTTTTAATGGCCAGTGACAGTATAACAATGAATTAAGATGAATTTTCCTCGTTGTTATATAAATAGTATGAATTAATAAGGCTATGGGCAGATTTTGAGCTATCTGAGAGTTTAGATGATCTGTTAATGATGTTGTATCAGTCTATCATTAACTTCAAACCTTCTTTTCCAGCTCCATCATTTTCTTCCGTTTGATGAGGAGTTCGTTCCAGCCGTCCTCGTATGGATCAGCAACCAGAGTGTGTCTGTTGTACGAGCGCAGCTGAAAATACACAAGACAATTTAGTTTGATCCGCGTTAAATCACACAAATTAAGGAAATACAAAAAGAGCAGTTTGAGAACAGGAAGTGGCGAGCGCTCACTCTCTGGCGGGTCCTCTGCAGGTTGGTGCGCAGGATCTTCCTGATCTCTTCCTCACGAGCCTTGGAGAGCTGCGGCAGCGCCCGGTCTTGAGGAGGCTTCTTGGGCTGGATGTTCCTGGAAAACATTTGAGATCAAAATTTAAAAAAATAATTATCCTAGAACAAACACAAATTCCACAAAATCTACACGCATTCCATGCATTCTAGAAATTCCACACATTCTCCATGCATTATATAAATTCCTTACACCTTCCATGCATTCTACATTCTATATGTATTATATAAACTGCGTACTCTCCACGCATTCTCTGTGCATTTTATGGATTCCTCACACATTCCACATGCTATATGTATTTTACAAATCGCATGCATTCCACACATTCTCTAAATTCCCTACGTTTCACATTCTATGCATTTCATAAATTGCATACTCGTACATTGCTTTACACATTTCACTCTGCATTCCACACTTTTTATGCATTCCACACATTCTCCATGCATTCTCTAAAGTCCATAGTCCATACACATTCCAAAAATTCCATGTATTCTAGTCGAATTCCACACCACCTCTAAACTCCTTACACATTGTATATGCATTCCATAAATTGTATACATAGCACACATTCTCCAAATTCTACATGCATTCCATAAACTGCAAACATTCCACATATTCTCTAAATCCCTTACACACTCCATGCTTTATATGCATTCCATAAATTGCATTCATTCCACATATTATTCATGCATTATATACATTCTTTACACATTCTCTAAAGTCCATACACATTCCAAGAATTCTATGTATTCTAGTCGAATTCCACACATTTTCTAAATTCCTTACACATTCTATAATGTAATCCATCAATTGCATACATTCTACATACATTACATAAATTCTTTACACATTCCACACTCTACATGCATTCCATATCCTGCATGCCTTCCACACATTCTCCATGCATTCCATACACATCCAAAAAAATCCATGTATTCTAACCAAATTCCACACATTCCATGAATTCCACACATACTCTAAAACATGCATATTAATTCCACACATTCTTCATTCCTTCTATAATATCCCAAATGTGCTATAATCACTCCTTAAATCCAATGCACTTTCCATGCACCTTCTATAAGCATTCTACAAATTCCATATATTCTATCTGCATTCCATGAATTCTAAAACAGATCCTGATTATGGAGGTTGGAAGCACTCACTGCATGGAGACGGTGGACGGCAGGGCCGAGGGCAGCTTGGCTCCGCCGCCGCTCTCCACCAGCTCGATGGCCTGCTTCATCTCCATCTTGTGGTAGAAGGCGATCAGCTGCGGTTCTTTGGAGCGCTCGCCTGCTATCAGGCACTTCTTCACGTACTTCTTATTGAACCGGTTCAGCCTGGAAATGAGAAGGAAAAGGTGAAGCTTTCATATGATCGTGGTTATTTTTATCCAGATAACAAACCCTGGCATTCAGAGTCATTACGGCAGAGAAACACTGAAGCTTTGTCTGGAATCCATGTGGAACATACTGGCATAATAGTGCATTGAAATGAACCAAACTACATGTGGTTCTCCATATTCTTTCCAAATTTGATCCTAAAACTCACTTTCTCTGCTGCAAAAGATCCAGACTGTAAACTCAACCAACTAAACAAAAAAAACGCGTCTGGTTTTAAAACATCATCCAAATACCAAGACCAGACACAGGAATCGTTATGATTTCATATAGACTTCAAATAATCTCAAAATCGCTCACAGAAAAGCCAAATTTGAGTGAGTTATATACGTACTTGTCCTTCCAGTGATGATGTCCGTAATGTCCGCAGATGTCCTCAATGCCGGTTAGCAGATGGTCCAAAAACTAAAGACAATGAAATGACAATAGATAAGCTTTTTAGGAAACATAAACTACAATATCAATCAATAATGCTGAGATTATCAGTTAAACAGAAGCTGCAGCTGAACATGATGTTGATAATGAGCATTAAATTGGACAGAAGAGCGATTTCTGCCAGTCACTCACAGCATTAACATGATGAGACGCTCATGCAAATGTTTCCATAGCAACAATCAGCTTTAGGAGTGATGAATAAATGCCAATTTGTGGGCAAAATGTTCTGTACTGGGTTTTGTGGAGTGGATCCAAGCTCATGTCTGGCATACAAACTGCCACCTGCTTTTTCTAAATAATACTCATAATATAATAAATATATGTTATGTTAAATAATATATTTCTACATTTAAAGTTATTTGTTGCTGTGATCTCAAATCTAGTATGGAGAATAGTGATATTTCACTGGGGTTTTTCTCATCTTAATTGTTGTTATTATAAATGTTCTCAACGCTCCCAGCTATGGACAAACATTCATTTAATTTGCCCATTTATAACGGAGACGCCTCTGTTTACTGAGCACTGCACTCACGCTGTTGATGCTAAAACATTTACTGAGGCTCAGTGTGATTATTAGGGAAGCCTTTTTCCTGGACAAAAACACACGAGTCACTGCTTTAACATACTGTGAGTGTTTGATTAGCCAGAGTTGAAAGAATTACATCTTTATATGATGTTATACTGTTGGTGCACACGTTGTCATGCAGTTCCTTAAAGGAGACATATTATGCCCCTTTTTACAATATGTAATATAAGTCTCTGGTGCCCCCAGAATGTGTCTGTGAAGTTTCAGCTCAAAATACTCCACAGATCATTTATTATATAATTTTGAAAATGCCTATTTTGAGTGGAAGCAGAAACACGCTGTTTTTCGGGCCTGTCTCTTTAAATGCAAATGAGCTGCTGCTCCCCGCCCCCTTTTCTAGAATAGAGCTGCGCCATTACAGCTCGGACCTGCTAAAAACATCTGTTTTGGTTCTGATTATCATGTTTATCGCGCTGAAATCATGCGTTTTAAACCATATTAGTCAGTGATTTAGCTGTGAAACATGACCTGGAAACATTCTTATTTACCTAAAGAGTCTATTTTTAGGATAATTAAGATTTCTTGCATTGTGTCATTATTTCCATGACAATTAAAGGGGTCATATGATGTTGATAAAACTATTACATTATTTTGTGTATTTGGTGTAATGAAATGTGTTTATGTGGTTTATAGTGACGTAGACATGTGGGGGCGTGTTAGAACGAGGCGTTTTAGGTAGGTGTGGCTGACTCTTAACTTTTATAAAGAATATCTCTTTGGATTTGAGACTTTAGTCTTTGCAACTTTACAGATTTCTTTATGCACCAAGAGCTGGTAACACTCAAAAGAGAAAGGAAAAATTGAAATCGCATCATATGACCCCTTTAAGCACATTTTCCTGCTAAATTTTCATCAATGTTTGACATTCCCAATTCCTGATGGTGATTCTCTTTAGATTTTCCTGATGGCATTTACCATTTTAATTAAAAAAAAATCTTATTATTTTTTAATTCAAATCAAAATATCTTTTTATTCTATTTTTATTTTTATTTTTTTTATAACAAAATTTTATTATGGTTCATAATTCTAATGAAAATGTCACACAATTCAAAAATCATAGTGGTTTACAAATGGGCTTAATTTTCTTTATGCAAAATGTTTTTTTTTTGTGTGTTCAAATATGACCTGGAAACATTCTAGGCATTTTTTGTCTAAACAAAGACACCTGACACCTGTCATTCTAAACACATCAAGCTGTATTTCTGAATAAAACTGTGACTGTACCAGTATGTGACCAGCAGGTGGCATTCAAACACACTCACTTTCAGTAGTACCGGATGTTACACAAACCCAAAAAAAGAGAACGAAATAATTTAGTTATTATAATTAACTCATCTAACCCAGCCCTGCTTTATTGTGAACAAGACCGTGTAATCGAATCTATTCTATACTGGCAGAATGTTGAGAAAGCATCAAATATTCCTGAATCACAGATGGGAGAAACTCAGAGATGAGCAGCACCTGTGTGTGAATCTCCTCATTAATAGATCGCTTCGTTTCCTGTTTCTTCTTCACCGCCAGGAGGTCCACCAGAGGTCGAATGGTCATGCCCTGCCAAAACAAAGGGAGAAGAGCGGAAATTGATGACTGCTCACAGATGGTCCTATTTAAATGCAAACGATACAGCTTTAGTCGTTTAAAAAATTGGATTAACATAAAAAAGGATGGCACAATGCTAAGCAAACTACACACAATAATACAATAAATATAATAAAAAGCGTTTATTATATCAAATATTTTTACTGAACTTTTAATTTCAACTTTATTTTAGGTTTATATATAATATCACGTGCATATATTTATATATAAAGCGTGTGTATATCAAACATTTATTTGTTATTTTATTTGATTTATTTATGAATTATAACAACTTGAGAAGCGGTCACTGACCTGCACAAACACCGTGAAGAAGATGACAGTGATGATGGCAGTGAGGAACATGTTTCTCATGGGGAAGTGTTCAGTCTTCAGCAGGTAGACCAGGGAGAAGGCGATGGCTCCTCTCAGTCCTCCGTAAGCTATGATAAACTGGTCCTTAGAGGTGAGTTTGATGATACGGAACTTATTGATCACGAAGGTCAAGCCGACAACACCTTTGAATGAAGTAAAACATTAATTAAATACAAGCATTGAAAAATGTGCCACCATTCACAACCAGAGTAATTGTTTCATCATATTTGAAATAACTTCACAGAATTTCATTGATTTTCATTTTCAAATTCATTCTGCAGGATTATGTAAATTTTTGCCTAATCAGAGCTTGTGTTGGGCCAATTTAATCATTCTTTTTTCACAATATTACACTGATGCATCCTTGCATTGACTTTTTATAATTTATTATTTAATTGATTTTATATATAAATATATTTTTTTAATTTAAAGTCAATTATATTTTATATAATATTTTTATATTATATATCTATATCTATAACAACAAATACATTTTGCATATTTATATATATACACACACACACACACACACACGATGATGGACCTTCCCTGAAGCCATGACGCAAATGCACACAATCGCAGTCACACCCCAGATACGGAAGTGAGACTTACTGAGTTATACTTCTAGTGAAATCTCGTGAATAATTAGCAGATTCAGGAGGTCCTGCTAAACTTCACTCACCCAGAACACGCGCCACCAGGCAGAAAATGAGGGTCGCCATCACGAAGGTCCAGTTCCACTCGTGCGGCCCGGCCACGGTCGACACTCCCAGGAAGATGAAGATGAGCGTGTCGCTCACGCTGCTCCACATCTTCAGGAAGTACTTGATGGTGGTGTGGGATTTATGGGAAATATTGGCCTCCACGTAGGGACGCATGACGGCACCACATGCGATTAGCCTGGAGACAGAAGATTCATCTACGTTACTGACCTGACAATACTTCCTCCATATCATCTGATATCAAGATTTATCAAAATATTCATTTCATATCTTTAATAGGGATGTTTGTTAGACCTCCAGAATCAATTTAATCATAACTCTGTTTACAAGTAAACGCCACATTTAATTTCCCCCCACAAATTCTGTATTTTCCTTCTTTTGTAGATGTGTTTTATGATTTATTACAAATTTATCATCACATATGGAATCTAATGAAATGACTTCATAAAAGTTTTGTAATCATTCTTTTAAAATCTAAAATATTTTGATTGCATAATATTACTTAAAAAATAATAACAACTATAAAATTAGGTGTTTCTAATAATAATAATAATAATAATACAATGGTTCCTAATGAAATTCATAAAAACATCTGACAATTAATTTACAGCAAAACACTGCATTTTTATTTTTTGTAAAAATAAGGTGCTGCACAACTGAACCTGTATACCATATAAATTAAAACATGGATACAAATATTTTGTTGGTATTACATTTCTTTAAAAATAATAATAATAATAATAATAATTACTTCTTATTTATATTATTTTATTTTCTGTCAAATAAGGTGCTGCACAGCTTGTATTAAAATATGGGTGAAAAAATATTTTTGGGTTCTATGATATTCCTTAAAATAATAATAATCATAATAATAATAATAATACAATATAGGCCCGGTTTCACAGACAGGGCTTAGACTAAGCCAGGATTAGGCCATAGTTCAATTAGGACATTTAAGTAATTTTTATAAACGTGCTTAGGAAAAAACATTACTGGTGTGTAGGGTTGGGTATTGAAAACCGGTTCCATTTTAGAACCGGGTATTCGATAAGATGCGTGCATTTTGATTCTGCTTAACGATTCCTGCGTTCGCATTTTAATGTGATTAAAAACTATTTAAGTACAGGAACGGAAAGACCATGCGCCCTGTTTACGTGCAGTGCACACGAAGCGCGAGTGCGAGCACAGAGAACAGAGGTCGCTGTACGGGTTCCCGGTTTGTGTCTGTTCTCGAACCGTTCCGTGTAGAAAAGGATGTTCCGGGCCGAAACTGACTTCTTTCATATTTGTCGACCAATATGCAGAAAACTACGTCAGTCTATATCATCATAAACACAGCCATTTTTGTCTTATGTGAACGTAAACAGATGAGAAAGAAAACACACATGTACAGTATTTTTAGATCTGCGTGCGTTCGGTGTTAGAGAGACAGCAGCTAGAGCCCTGCATTTCAGCCCGGGTGCCCGACAGGCCCCGACTTTTTTACGCCCCTCGGGCCGGGCTTCGGGCCAATTTTCACGTCATAGTTCAGACGCGGGCCGGGCCTCGGGCCTGTTTTAGGCTTTTCCTTATTTTTATATTTTAGACATTCATCAATTAGTGATGAAAAAAACTGCAGCGCTGGTGGAAACAACACGAGACCGTGCTAGCTGCTCGGCGGTGTTTATTGTCTGAAGAGTTCTGCGTTCAAATGCATGCAATAGGCTTAAGTTTGCCGCAAAGCACCGGCAAAAGTAATTACCGTAAATGTGACGGGGGGAAATAGTAAGGAGATATTTGAGTTATTTACTAATAAACTAGTGTTTTCTGAGTCGGTGTCACAAGGACGAAGTTGCCGATCCTGACTCGCCATCTCCTCAGACGCGCCTTTAGAGAGAAGTGCATCTTTACGGATTATGATTATAATTAAAGAGTTTTTGTTTTTGTTAAGGTTTCGGTTCATTTTTGTGAAGCGCTCCTGTTCAAGACGAGACGGCAGGATGCGCATCATGTTTGTTTTCTTTATTTTATAAAAGCACAACGTTTTGTTGATATTGTGAGTGCACACAAATAAAAGTAGACCATTCACAGCTACGAATGATGTATTACTCTTACCTTTATGAGCAAAAATTACGGCGTATCCACTGAAAAAAACACAAGTGTTCGCACTGGCGCCTCCATGTCCTGCAAAGCGCGCTTTAGCTTGCACTCTCCGCACAAACTATTGGATACAGCGCACATTTATCTAGGCTTAACGTTTAAACATTGTTATATGCTTGAACTGTTTTATATCTATAGATTTTATTTTAGGCAAGTCGTGATGAT